TATTTCATATATATAACCATGTACATGCATATACATATGTATGTACATGTAGGTATACAGGCATTTGCATATATGTATACACCAATGTCGTAAACAGGGTGTGGTTGACAACTCAGGCAGGCTGTCTTTTAAGATACTATTATGCAAAAAAAAAGATATGAACAAGCGATTCAAAATTCATAACAAAATTTCAATTTGACGTTATAGCATGGTTCTTCTGAGAGCCATGTCAAATTCAATCACACTTTGTTAATACATTTCGGTCCTACCTCTAATTTCTTAAAACTATTGTTCTTGGGGGGTTTACCCCTTTCTTTTCTTTTGCCTTAACTAGTTTAAGCTTACTTTCTAACCTTGTGTTTTTTTTTATTATTATTATTTTTTTTTATTATTATTTTTTTTTTATTGAAAAAAAAGCTTAGTTTAGGCCCGAAGGACTCACCCTTGTTGCAGCAGGCTTGGGTGTGGCCTGCTGTTGTTGTAGTCGCTGGGGTTGTGCGCTGTTGCGCGCTGTTGTGTCTGGTGTTGCGCACTGTTGTTGCTGGTGTTGCGCGTTGTTGTTGCTGGTGGTGTGCGCTGTTGTTGTTGGTGTTGCGCTGTTGTCCACGCTGCTGTGTCGGGCGTTGTTGCACTCGCTGCTGTGGCGGTTGTTATTGTCGATGGCGCGGTGTTGCTTCCGCGCGTTGTTGCACCCGCTGCTGTGGCGGTTGTTGTTGTCGATGGCGCGGTGTTGCTTCCGCGCGTTGTTGCACCCGCTGCTGTGGCGGATGTTGTTACCTGCGCACGTTGTTGCTTCGCTGCGCGCTGTACTCGCTACTGTGGCGGTTGTTGCTGCTGGCGCGTTGCTGCTTCCTATAGCGCGTGTTACGTGCGCGGTGTAAAAATAATGAGAGGACTTTAAGTAAAGAGAACTATATATACCACGTTTATACGTAAGCTATTGGCAAATAAAGATAATGTGCAAATACCTAACCCACTCTATTCGATGGTGAAAAATTCTTTTTTAATATTGCCTGATTATAAAAAGGCAATAATATGACCATCGAAAAAGAAAATAAAGTTAAAAATGGCAACGTTTTGATTATTAAAAGGCAATAAGATGACCATCGAAAAAGAAAATAAACCTAAGAATGGCGGCGTCTTGCGCTTATTTGCAAATAGTACCACTAATCAATAGTTGCGATCCCGTACGAGTCCGTACTAGTCAGAATCAGTCAGATTTTACTGGAAATCGATCCCGTACTCGGTTCTCTGACTATTGAGAGGACAAAAAAGAGAGTAAATACGGTTCTCTCTCTGTCAGATGTTACCAGTTTTAGTCCGAGAATTTTTTTTTTGGTAAATTCTGGTAAATGTGTCAAACGATCAGCTGTAGTGTGTTTGGCAACCAAATTGTAAACAAAAGAAAAGTGCACTCTGCTAATTCATGTTGAAAAGAGTTTGGAATTATTTTTGGTTATTTACATGTGTGAGCTGGGTGTGTTTACATACATAATAAGCAAAAATTTACAACCAAAATTTGGAGGTTATGTTGAAGTTAACAGAAGTTACCATTTGTTACTAGAAAGCGATCCCGTACTTTTCAATGTTAATCTCTCGCTCTGAGCAAATTTTTATTTTTTGACAGTTTTACTAGTCCGAGGAATACGGGATTGCACCTAATACTTATTTGCGTGATTTAGTTATTTGCAAGTAAAAAATTAACTCAGCGTCTATACGGCAAAGTTTACCATTTTGCTAATTGTTATTTGCAGATAATACGTGCGTATAAACGTAGTAATAGATTCTCTAGTCAAGAAATATAATCTGGAATATGCTAAGCTATATAAAACACCCATGGAAACAAACTTGAGACTAGAACCAGCTGATGAGGTAAATGAGCAAGTAAAATATCGGAATTTGATTGGAGAATTACTATACATATGCACCGGAACAAGGCCAGACGTTGCGTTTAGTGTGAATTACTTAAGCAGGTTTCAAAGTGCTTATAATGAAACACATTTTAAGTACGCACTGAGAGTATTGAAATATTTTTACCTGACAAAAAAGCTAAAATTGATATACACTAAATCCGAAAGAGCGGATGTGATGGATAGCTTGGTAGATTCAGATTGGGCTGGTGATGTTACGGATAGAAAATCCACGTCAGGATTCATAATAAGGCTGTTCGATAATGTAATATATTTGAAATATCATAAACAAAAGTCAGTTACTAAGTCATCGACTAAGGCCGAATACGTAGCACTGTCAGAAGCACCAACTGAAGTAAAATTCATAAAAGGTCTCTTAAATGAAGTATTTAAAATTAAGCTCAAGGCACCAATTAGAGTGTACGAAGATAATTCAGGAGCGGTATCAATTGCGAAAATGGAAAACTTTTCAAAGAAAACCCAATACATTGAAGGACAATACCATATTTATGAAAACTATGAAAAAGGAACTATCGATATTGTTAAAATAGATACGAAAGACAATATTGCTGATATTTTGACAAAGTCACTTGTAAACCTAAATTTAATAAATTAAAACAAAAATTAAAATTAAAATGAATATTTTTTTACATACCTAAGTGTACATTAGTACCTATGTTTTTGTCTCGAGTAACTATTAGTACTTTAAGTATACATCTGGCAACTCTGTATGTTGAAACATTTTGATATACACGTTCCTTTTCTGGTCTCTCACTTTGTTCACCAACATGCGTGTGTGCAGTCAATCAGCAAACTCTTAACTTATTAAATGTTAAAAACTGAACCACGAATAAATAAATTATAATTAACTAAATCTTTATTACTCAACGAAATGAATTCATATAACCTTCAAACGTAATTTTTACATGTCTTTTTGCTGAAATCTAATTAAAGAAATTCACCCACGCTATCGAGACTATCGACGGCAGCGCACTATCGGAAAAAATAACTATCGGCACAATCGATAGTGACCAGTGTTGCCAAACATGGGCTTTTCCTACCAAAACTGGTATGTTTTTTTTCATTTGGTAGGCTTGATTGGATTTTGGTAGGTTTCGGGACAATGAGTAATAGTTATTTGCGAAAAATAGAAAATATGTACGTATCTCCAAATATTTTAGCAACCTTTTTTACACAAATATTTCACCGGTGCGTTCGTATAATGACGGCCACAAACATGTAAATATATCTGATTCCTAAGTACAAACGTATACCTTATTATAGCCAATATGCAATACGGACATCCATATATCGTGACCTAAGGGTGAAAAGGTGCCAAGTCCATTTTTAGAAATTTTTCTGGAGAGATGAAAAATCGATGTAGTTTCGTATTACCTGTCATTCTGCATCAAAAACTAAACTTAAAAAAAAAATGGACTTGGCACCTTTTCACCTTTAGGTAGCGATATAATTTATGGCGTACTTGGACTAGAGGTGGGCACGTGAGTAATTTTGGCCCACGTTCACGCACGCTCACGTTGATGGTTTTTTAAATCACGCACACTCACGTCTTGCTATATTTTTTTCAATCACGTTCACGTACGCTCACGCACGGTTTCTCGCGAATTTTTTTTTGAAATTTAAGCTTTATTTATATAAATAGTATTTCATATAAATAGCTTTTTATCTCACAAGTATTATTACAAAAGCTTGGCCAAACGCCTAGCAAGGGCTGAAGGCACTATTATTATTTTAACATATTTCAGATATACATACTTATGTATCTATTACGGCTATAAAAAAGAATTGGTATCAATATTTATTGAACGTATGTAATATTAAAATGACATTAGCTCATATTTTTGTTTAAAAATAAAATTGTGTCGAGGTTTTCACCAAGCAGTCGTGTACGTCTTTCTTCCAGAATTCTGCCTGACACAGAAAAAACTCTTTTACTAGTTGCTGAGCTAGCTGGTACGTTTAAAATTTGCCTTGAAAGACTTCTAAGAAGGGGCAAATCTTTAACTTTCTCCCAAAATTTTGAAACATCGTCACAACTTTTGTTTTCCGATTTTTTCAAATAAATCTATATTTCCGTATTAATTTCTTCAAATATTGTTTCTGCAGATTCATTTGTCGCATCTTTGAATTCGTCAAAAGCTGCACGGGTTTTTGCCCTTTTCGAGGTAGAAGGAATGTCATCGTACAGAATTTCGGAATCGTGCTGAGGGCGAGCGCTCTTTTCTTCAAGTGCAGTCTACCTAAGTAAGAGTAGAATAGATGTGAAAATAGTAACGCTTTTCAGCTGTTCATCGGCGCCCTGATTCCATTTTGTTGCCAGCACAACAATGAGTTCAAAGCAATTGCTTTGAAAAAGTCACCCGGTACTATCCCTGCTACAACACATTCTTGAGTGACACTGACATGCAATTTCTTTAAAGTTTGCGCCTGACTGTAGGCAAACCGAAAAACTGCAGATGTGCAAATGAATATAACAGAATGCATCCAATTTCAAAGGAAAAAGAATAAATGTTGCAACTTAGTGAAAGTTAAACAGTAAGTTTACGAATTTATTTTAGATTAAAATACAAATAAGTAGTTACATACATACATATGTGAAAATGACATGATTGACGAAAATCTAACTCACGCACACTCACGCACGCAAAAATTTCAGGCACGCACGATCACGGATATTACATGATTTTTCACTGAAAGCCGCTCACGCTCACTGGTGAAAAAGCGTGACACGACGTGTCATGTAGAAATGCACGACTTTTGCCCATCTCTAACTTGGACCAAGATTCCAGAAAAGTCTGCCAATGGGCTCGTACTCAACCATATTTCGGGCGGAAGTCTTCCCAATCGAAGTCTGTGTTCGCGAATGTCATCGTAGAAGGCAAATGAGGCCAGAATAAATATTATGTCGGACATTCAGGCAGCGTTAAAGGCCTCAGAGTCTTTTAAAACGGCATCAAGGCTTGTAAACTCTTGAACCACCTGCGAGCCCACAATAGCGTCACGCATGAAGGGTTTGAAGGCAACGAAAGGGCTGACTGTCTCGCAAAGCGTGAAGCCCAAATGCGTTTGCATCCTAGCCTTTCTGTGGTACATCTAAAGGGTACACTGCAGACCTACTTAGGAGCTAGCTGGGAATAATCTCAAATTGCTGCCTACTGGCGGAAGTCAAAGGGAATAATACAGCAGGAACTCCAAAAGACACCTTGAACTTAGAACTCTTACTGGCAACCTGACAGTATACTGCAAGTTAACGTACGGTTTTAATTAAATGGGTCTTTCTGTAGAGACACACTGTAGGGTTTGTCGGCTGGTGAAAGAAACCCCAGAGTATATTCTACGTGCCTGTCCACGAAGCATGAATCATATATTGATACACCTTGGAGAACGATTGCCTTCTCCATCTAAAATTTGGAAAATGGCCTCATCCAAAGTGCTGAGCTTTTTAAATAGCCTAATACTATGTCTCCATTAAAAGATCTACCTATTAAGATTTAATAAATCGAGTTGCTAAATCTTAACCATCTCCATTGCCACAACGAGTTTGACGTTCACATTTTGAAATATTTGACGTTTGATTATGTATGTTTTTATAAATACAGTTGCGGACATTGAAATACACACAAAACGGTAAATAACAACATTTGCTGAAAGAAAAACTTTTAAAATTCGGTAATGGTTTGGGGAAATGAACTCTCTTCATAAGCCGAAAATCCAATCGTAGGCCTTTGGCATATCATGAAGACCTAGCTAGCAAAAATGACTGCCAATGCATTTCTTGAGTCGAATTGAGTTCTAGAGGATTTTTTGTGCAATGTTATCGAAGCAGTATTATAGGAAGCGAAGAAGACTCTGCATTATATTATCATAAAACATATGAATTCTGAATTTTTAGTTTTTAAAATCATATATTCTTGATTTATT